CATCAAACAAAGGTTGATGGAAGAAGCTCGTAGTTCTCCTTATTCAATGCATCCCGGAGGGGACAAATTGTATAAGGACATGAAGAAAATGTTTTGGTGGCCCAATATGAAAAGAGAGGTTGCAGAATTTGTGGCTAAATGTCTGACATGTCAGAAAGTAAAGATTGAACATCGCAGACCACAAGGGAAGGTCTAATCATTAAAAGTGCCTAGTTGGAAGTGGGATTCCATCTCTATGGATTTTGTTGGGGCATTACCCAAAACTCGGGCAGGATATGACACCATTTGGGTAATTGTGGATCGATTGACGAAAACAGCGGTCTTTATACCCATGAAAAATACTTGGTCCATGGAGCAATTGGGAAAAGCCTATGTTAAGTATGTAGTCAAGTACCATGGGGTGCCAAGTGATATTGTGTTAGACAGGAATTTGAGATTCCTATCCAACTTTTGGCAAAGTGTGCAAAAAGCAATGGGGACGAAACTACTAACGAGCACGGCGTTCCACCCTGCCATTGACGGACAAACCGAGAGGACCATCCAAACATTGGAGGATATGTTGAGGGCATGTGTAATGGAATATCAAGGGTCGTGGGAAGACCACCTAGATTTGATTGAGTTCTCCTACAACAATAGTTACCATGTAAGTATTGGGATGGCACCACTCGAAGCCCTATACGGGAGAAAATGTAGAAGCCCAGTCTGTTGGAGTGATATCAGTGAAACGATAGTACTTGGACCGGATATGATTGAAGACATGGTTAAACAAGTCAAATTGATACAAGAAAAGATGAAAGCAGCCCAAGACAGGCAAAGAAGCTATGCTGATCCAAAGAGAAGAGAAGAAGAATACCAAGTAGGAGAGAAAGTGTTGTTGAAAGTGTCACCTATGAAAGGGGTTATGAGATTTGGGAAAAGAGGAAAATTGAGTCCGAAGTACATTGAACCATACGAAATTGCCCAACGGATCGGAAAGGTGGCATATAGGTTAAACTTACCCAGTAAGCTGGAAAAGGTCCATAACGTATATCATGTGAGCCAACTCCGGAAGTATATACCTGATGCGACTCACGTATTACAACCCGAGAACATAGTAATGGACGAAAATCTGACTTATGAAGAAAGACCTGTCAAAATCTTGGATACTAAAGTCAGGAGCACAAGAAACAAAGATGTGAGAATTGTAAAAGTGTTATGGACCAATCACAGGGTTGAGGAAGCAACATGGGAAGCTGAAGCCGAGATGCGGAAACGCTACCCAGATCTGTTTCTAGAGGTTAGTAGTCGAGTTACGGGGGCGTAACTCTTTTAAGGGGGGTAAAATGCGATAGAGTTTCGCGCGCACCTATTCCAAACCCTCTAAGTTAGCAATAGGATGTGTCTAGTTAGAATGTTTAGCATGTGCATGAAATTAATTAACTAAAAGCTATTTTCAAAGAAGAAATTCTTTTTACTTTCCTCATCACTCCGCATAGTTCGGGTCGAAACTTCTTTTAAGGGGGGTAGACTGTAATACCCTGTATTTTTGAAAGGTATTTTCTAAATTAAAGAGTATTTAGTGTCGTATTTTCGACGTATTTTTCTAACTTAAGAGTATTTCAGTTTTGGAGCCAAAACGACATTTGAATTCTGGCGCCTAAATCATTTATTTTAATTAAATGGATAAACTAAAAATTTAATAAATAGTATTTTGATTAAATAAATAATAAACCAAAACTATATTAATTAATAAAATTAGAGGTATTTTCGAATTTAAAAATCTGATTTTTGTAAATAGTATTTTCGGATTTTTCCAATAAAATCCAATTTTACTTAATATCTTGCTAAACTAATTATTTTCATGGATCAAAATTAATTTCCTAAAACTAAATAAATATCATTTTTGAATTTTTACAATTAAAAATCTGATTTTACTCTAAGTAAAAGTATTTTCATAAAATAAAATTAATGGCTAAACTAATGAAGCATATTTTCGGATTTTATGCATTAAAATCTGATTTTTATTAATTATTTGCTAAATTAATTATTTTTATGAAGTAAAATGATTTCCTAAATTAATCAAATAATATTTTAAATTTCATATAATAAAATCTGATTTTATACTTTATTATAAACCAAATTTTCGGCCACCCTAATAATTTAGCAAGAAAATTGATTTTTATTCTTCCAAATATTTATAAACTTATTAAATCTTTAATTTTTGACAAATAAATTATTTTACAAAATCCCTAAACTGACATAATAGGTCCGAAAATATTGAGTAATATTTTGCTCAATATTTTCGGCCATTCATGATTTTTCTACAAAGATTTTAAAATTATTTTATTAAAAATAAACTCCTTTAAATTTCTTTACTTCTATTCTTAAACCTAAAATTATTTGATTCTATCTCATACTTGCACTCCAAGCTTAAAACCTACCAAATAGAATTTCATGATCACATAAATATTATAGCCTTCCATATATTTAAAAACCTTAATTTCTATTTCTCAAAAAATTCCATAATTTATAAACCCTAAAATGCCATAAACCCATCACCTAAACACCTATAAATACCCCTTTCAAACACCCCAAAATCACACCAAAAACCTCAAGGAAGTTCTCTTCTTCTTCCTCCCTTTTTCTCACGGTTTTCTCCCCTTTTCCTCTTCTCATTTTTTCGGCCACCGCCACCACCGGCGACCACCTGCTGACCGGCGACCACCAGCAGCCGCCCCCTGACGGCCACTCTTGCTTCCCCTTGCCTTGGTTCCTCTACCATCCTTCAATCCATCCTTTCTCTTAATCTTGTTTTATATTATTAATCATTTTCCTAAATATTATTTCTTACACAAATTAATTTTATAAAAACAGAAAAAAATTCTTTAAATTATAAATAGAAAATTATTTTATATAATGATAATTAATTCATGCACATATAAGGTAGTTTAATTAAGTTGTTGTGTTTATTTGATAGCCTTATATTAATTAAGGTTATAATTATGTGTAGGGTATTCGTGATTTAGAGAAGTAGTTGTGAATCGCTCGTGGTTGATCAAGGTACGTTATGTGGTTTGATACCTTCGAAAGTTGATTATGAAACTACATTTTATGATCGTATGAAATTATAATTTATTCCGTATGAAATTATATTTGTGTACATTCCGTATGAAACTATATTTTATGTTCCGTATGAAACTATGATTTATTATGAAATTATAAATTATTATGTTCCGTATCAAATCATATTTTATTACATTCCGTATGAAATTATGTTTTATGTTCCGTATGAATTTATGATATTATGTTCCGTATAAAATTATGAAATTATGTCGGATTGAATGATTTGGATTTAAATTAAAAGAGGCCTTAAATTGTGATTGGAAATTATTGGAAAAGATTTACAAGTTCATTTTGATGCAAGTGCAACGGATTTTTAAAAGGTGCTTTTAAGCAAATCAATCGATATGTTATAAATCCCACTTAGGGAATGGATTAGAGAAGGCTATGGACTTTGCATGACCTAGTCTTTCCTCAAGTTTGGCCTTTGTTCATAAAGTAAACCACTTGGGGGGTGTGCACACTTAGTGAGGAATTGGTTTGGAATAAATCGATTGAGTTTTAGTTTGTATTAAAAGAATTGGATTGGAAAAGTTCTATTTGAATATACGGCATTGGTATTTCTTTTATTAATTAAACGTAAATGATTTAAATTACGTTTTACTTATCTTACACATGACTTACTTAGCATATTTTGCTAATACGTGCTTTTGTTTTGGCTTTGCCCTGTTTACCATTTATGGTAAACATGTGAATATTTCAGGTGGATATTGATTGATGCATACGGGAGTCCACGTGAATTTCACCTAGCTAGGAAAAGTTTGAGTCATTTTTGTGTCACGAATTATGAACGAATTTTACTATGGTTTATTTAATAAAGAATAAAGTTTTCCGCTGCAAAAGTATTTTGTATAAGCCTTGCGTTATACGCGGCGGTAATACGCCCAAGTCTATCTCTACGATATTTATACGTATTTTTCTACAATCTACGTAGAGAGAGATTTGGGGGTGTTACAGAAGCAACTAAACAACCACAGTCATTGTCATAATCATCTTCATCAAGGCTATCTAGCTCATCAAACCCCTCAAAGTCACTCCCAATTTCACCCAAACCCTTAGTTGCAACTACCATTATTCTCATCATCTCTAACTCATCCTCATAAGAAATCACATTTTTGTTGTTTCTGGCAATTTCACACCTTGCTTGCACAAACTCTTCATCATCCAAATCGGTACCTTCAGTGTCATAATCTATATCACCTTGTCCATGCCTAGGTATATGTTCATGTTCATGCAAATTAACTCCTTTATTGGTTGTCTGAGCATGCTCATATTCTTCCACATTCTCTGTTGTCAATAAAGTCATAAAGGAACCCTTTTCCCTAAATTCTTAAATAAAGGGGTGCTAGATTCCTCATGCTCTATATATATATATATATATATATATATATATATATATATATATATATATATATATTGTAGTGTAGAAGTAGTGTCAAGAATGGATCACATATATTTTTCTCAAAGCCTAGGTACCTAATCCCAGTGTTAAAATCCTTCCTAGGATCCAAGAAATGGACCTTAACAATGTCATTTTACCCCAAACCATTTATTAAATTCTTCACATACTCAGCATCCAAAGTTTTAGGTATATCCTCAAACACATCTATTTTCCCCTAGGTAAAATGATTCACAGCCAATTTGTCATAAACCACCATGCATGATGTACAACCAAACAAGTTTTTAGTTCCATAATTTAACAATCATAAAGGATGGATAGTGTTTAACTTCCTTAATTCGGGAAAATCAACTTATTTAAAAACATTTAGAATCACATATCATACATGAATATCATGATCATAAATCAAACATGCAATAATAACTAAATTCAAAATAGATTAAGGATGAGAAAAAAAAACAGAAAGGATTTCTCGTTACTCATGTCAGCATTCTCACTTCTGATATCTCCAGGTGTTGTCACCAAAAACCTTCCCCGATTGACAGAACGTCCCGCTACTGACACTTGAAAAAGCAGCTTTCAAGGTCTCGTCGCTTCGGTGAATCACTTGAGCCCTGATACATTTTCGGTGCCATGGAGCTAGACCAGTGAGCTATTACGCTTTCTTCAAAGGATGGCTGCTTCCAAGCCCACCTCCTGGTTGTCATCGCTCGATCACTTCCTTTTCCACTAAGTGATTGCTTAGGGACCTTAGCGTACGATCTGGGCTGTTTCCCTCTCGACTTTGGATCTTAGCACCCAAAAAGTCTGTCTGTACAAACGATCTAGGCCTGTATTCGGAGTTTCCCTGGGGTTGGTAAGGCGAAATGGGGGCCACCCTAGCCCATTGAGTGCTCTACCTCGGGCCATCGACATCATACGCTCTACTGAAATAGATTTCGCGGAAAACCAGCTATATCCGATCTTGGTTGGCCTTTCACCCCTAGCCACAAGTCATCCCCGTATTTTGCCACAAACATTTATATTCATTCACATCAACCATCACCTTGTTCATTACAAAAGATCCTACATTAGGCTTCATTGAATTACATACATTTCCATCTATCTAGATTAATAATTGAAGCTTAATCAAATTAATAAGTTAGATTACATTGTCATAGCAGTGACATATCCAAAAAATGTCACATTCACACAACCTACATACATTCTAAGCTATGACAATGGAAAAAGTAAACCTAGAACACCCATCATCAACCTAAAAACCTACTCCCATTATAAGTAAAAAACTACAAGGTCTACAACCCTACAACCAAGCCCTTAATCTTCCTTGAAAATAAGTAGAGGAAAGTCGTCGAAGTACACTATCATGTCTTACTCAATCCACGCTAAAGAAGTCCCTCCCAAAATTATACAGAATTTCATGAAGAGCCCAGTCCCCGAAAGCATTCTTATTGCTCACATGCTATGGCAGGTAGGGAGCAATGTACCTCAGCCCCCACCATAAACGCCACTTCTAGCAAACCCTCTCCATACTTAGTTCGTCCTCCTAAGAAAGAATGGGGAACACATGCATCACCAGAACGTCCTGGGTTGCCATCAAGGGGTGAACGTCATCCAAGGCATCCATACCTAGGTTATTAGGTGAACACATCTATTGATCACATTCAAAAACAGAGCATACAAAACCCTAGTTTTTTGATTTTTAATGTCAAAACCTAACTCAACAAAAATCATACTAACAACAACAAATTACATGCAACTGTAGAGAATAAGATATTGAAGCATAATTTAATTAATCAACACAAAAAATTTCAAACGTTTCAACAATTTCATGAAACCCCAACTCGTTTTCGTTCGACAAAACAGGGTATGGTTCAAAAAAAGAAAAAAAAATTGAAATCGGGGATGATCTTACCTTCAGCTGATGTTAAAGATTCGATTTTAGCTTTCTTTTGCGCTGATGATTCTATGAATTCCCACCAAGACATAACAATGGAGCTTGATTTTTTTTACTTGTGTTTGAGATGAAAATGATCCTTGAAGTCTTCTAGAGTATATAAAGAAGCTTTCATCCCGCCAAAGGAGCAATTCGTATAGGGAAGAGCAATGTAAAACATTGAGTTTTGGTTAAAAATATTTTAATTGGGCCACGTGGCTTCTTGGGGTCCCTAAACTATTTATTATTATACCATTTGCCACATTAGATAGAAAGATTCTTTTTTAATTAAAATTCTGAAAAAAAAAAATTATTAATGAGTCATAGTCCCTAAATTTTTGCTGACTAAGCTAGGTGTCGCAACTTTTTGGTTGAGGGACTAAAGTGCTCAAATGAAAGTTCACTGACTAAAAGTGTACATGTACAAAAGTATAGGGAACACATTTATGATTTACTCTCAAATAAACTAAAACAGAAAATTCAACAACTAAAAACGCCGAGTACAATCAGTCAATCAGTAAACAAAGTAACCAACAGACGAGAAACCCTTTGAACCTGGCAAACCAAAAGAGATCAAGAGCCAATTTTTAGGAGTTTAGAGTGAGCATTAGCATAAGCGAAAGAAATATGGTTTCGGTATTGTCATTATATGGTTTGCATCTGCATACTAAATGGCAAAATATCAGTAATGGTGGCAGACTGGCAGGGGATAAATGGATAATTAACAATTTAGGACACAATATCTAGAGTGACATCATCAACCATCATCATATTCCTAAAATAGCAAAATTATCTTGGTGTCGTGATTGCAACGTGGCAAGCAATCAGTAAGCTAGCAGTTTGCTTGCTGTCTTCATAATTATCCTCTCCCAACTCAAAAAAGTTGTTCAATCAATGTCCCTCCATTGAGAGCTTATCAAGAACTTCGTAGCATATCTTAAATTTTAGTCAAGAAAGCAACATAATAACTAATTACTCCGTCCCGTCAAAAAAAAAAAAAAAAAAAAACTAATTATTCCGTATTAATAATAGCACTATAACGTGAGATTGCTCTAAAGCCTAAAGGTGATTTTCTGTTACAGTGCTAATAATTTATTAATATGATCGATTTAGTTTTTTAATTCTACCTCAACAGATCCACTGTACATCCAATGAGATAAGTGGAATTGAACAATTTTTTTATTTTTTTTCATTTTAAGTAACAGAGTTTTTTTTGGAGATTCTTAGAGAAATATTCCCTTAGTTGTGAATGAAGCAACATTTGTACTTTGATTCATTTGTACTAATAATATGCATCAAAGTACAAATATTGTATAAATAGTGCATCAAGTCAAAGTAATGTATATCATTAGTAGATGGCTTTGACTTTCATTTCGAAAATTATACTAATGAAAAATATATAAAACTAAATATTAAAATTTTCTCCATTTTATTTATATTATTACTAGGTTAGTCCCGTACGTTGCACGAATTAAATAATTATTATTTATTTAAAATAATAGTCATTATCCTTTATTCGTAAAATGTGTATTCATAATCTTATTTCTTTTTTTCAAAGAAAGTATTTATTTAGTTTGGAACTTGGAAAAAAAAAAGTTTATAAAAAAGGATGATGTCAAAAATAGTTTAAGCGGAAATTTTTTTCTTAAAAAGTTGACATGTGTTCATTAATGATGTTAACATGACCTGTTTTAGTAATTGTAAATAGATATTGTACCACTTGCTTTTAAAGAATTTTTTTGGATATTGCATTATACCAATTTTTGGAAAACAATCACATAGCTAATGTCCCATATAACATTACTTTTTAACACTTGTTTTTTTTTAATTTATGCTTACAAATTACAATCATTTGGATAATTTTATATTTTATTTCCTTTCTCTCTCTTCCTTTTTTCCTGCTACAAAAAAAATTGTGGTCTCTGCTATGGTGCATTAAAAAAAATGGAGGAAATATTTAAAGTTGAATTATTGTGATTTGTGAAAAGTATTACTTCCTCCGTTCCTGAAAAACTAACACATTCAAAGTCGGCACATATGGTAATGTATTAATTTTCACCTTATATATATATGATTAAAAAAATTTTAAAAAAATTCTATGATAGTTGAGATATAGTATGAAACTTTAAATTAATAACTATTTTTCTTTTTGAAACTAAATTAATAAGTATTTAACGGTATATTTCATAATAGAATTTGTTTTTTTATATGTTACTAAAAATTGAAGGTAAAAGATAGTATATAACATAGTGAGAAAAGTCAATCGTATCAATTATTTATGAATGAAAGGAATATTAGTTAATTTAATGCACTTTAAAATAACTAGAGAAATTACAAAATAGATTATTTGTGAACGCTGATAATAATTAATATTGGTAGAGTATGTCGGCACATATCATTATCAATTTATCATACTTGATATAGAAAGAAGAATGGGGTGGTGGACTCAAGTAGGCCATCATCACCTTTTGGTTGTTTTGCCAAAAGTGTGAGGATCTTAAAATGAGTTTATATTGGCTCTAAAGACCTTTCTTTCCTCTTCTCCATCTACAACTACTACACTGAACTACTAGAAACAACAAATAAATCCATTAAAACAACAAAACATTGCAAATCCCAATAATTTTATTGCTCAAGTGTAAGAAAAATAGAAAAAAAAAGAAAAGAAAAAGGATGGATTTGCGTTCATTTCTTACATCTTTTGGAACTTCTTTCATAATATTTGTGGTTTTGATGTTTCTTTTCACTTGGCTCTCAAGGAAACCTGGTAACCAAGTTATATATTACCCGAATCGAATTCTGAAGGGTATGGATCCTAGTTCGAAGACCCGTAACCCGATTTATTGGATCAAAGAAGCTTTTTTTTCCTCAGAAGATGATATTATCTCAGCTTCTGGTGTTGATACTGCAGTCTATTTCGTCTTCCTTTCTACAGGTATTAATTTTCTCTGTTTTTTTTTCGTCTGTTTCATACAATATATGCTATGAAGTGAATATTATCATTTGTTAATTGTTACACTTAAAATAACGCCTGTAAAATGTTGGAAATATTGATTAGCTTCGATTAGTGGACTTTTAATGAGGCCTTCCAAAGGGAGGTTAGTTATGTATGAGTAAATGCATAACGAGGGACATGAGGGTCATTTCACATAAATGCATTTCTGAATTTAGAGTAGTACCACTGGGTGATCAATTGTATCACTAGATGATTAAATGATATCATTGAACATTTCAGCATTACTATTTATGTATGTAGTGGTACTATATATTCATTCAGTGCTACTCACTACGTGTAGAAATAGTATCATTACGATAGAAATAGTATCACTATATAGTCAATGGTACTATCTAAGCTTTTAACGGTACATTTAAAAAATGGCCCTACTTACCCATCTCTCTCCTCTTTTCTCTTACCACCATGTGCTTTTTAATATTTTAGTATTTGTTATGCATTTACAAATGCATAACTAACCCCCCTCACTACTTCCTCGACTTCTAATACGGAGTATTTGATCAGTGAGCACAAAAACAAGCTAATTGAATATAATGAGCGTCTAATCTAAGATAGATTTAACTATTTAAGGAATCATGTCTAGCGGCAAAAATGGAAAAAACACGTCTTTGCAGTCTGAACATTTTATTTTTATATACTCACTGGGGCGGCTAGCCATAGCTAGTTATATTTAATAGGCACTTTTATCACATACTTCCACTGTTTTAGTAACATTGCAGTAACTGTACTTTTGCACTATTCATCATGCTTGTTAAACCACAAATTACGATTTATACGTAACGTAAAATATAATCACGTGGGATCTTGTTAGATTCGTCTTGTAAAATAATTTCACAATATCAATTTTTTATAATTTTTATTCTTATATAATTATAGATATTTTACATATAAAATGTGCGTTTGAATGCGTAATTTCATTCTTGTTGCATTATTGTAGAACAAAGAAAGTATTTTAGTTATTGACAACTAATACTAATAAAGGAAAATATATAAATAAATATTTTCTAAAGTATAAATGTTCGTAAATAGGGATATAATAATACGAAAAATATTGCATACAGTGTTATTTAAGATTCATGTTGTGTAGCAAGATGAACATTGTGTATTAAACGATACGTGCATTAATTGTGCACTAGATAAGTAGATAGGTCCATCGATCGATTTTCACATCAATCTTATGAAAATGATATTTTAATTGCGATTACAATCTGGTTAAAAAAATATGTTTGTGCTATTAAAAAAGAATGTTATTGCATGAGATATGTTTGTAAGCATATCTCAAAAATAGATTAGGAATCTCCCATCTCCAAGTCTCAAGCACATGGTAAGAATCATTTGAATGAACAACACTACAGCCATATATGCAATAATGTTTTTTTGTAATAATTAGTTTTTTTTAAAGCTTTTAACTTATTGAGTATTGTTAGATTTGACCTGTTTAAAAAGCTAATTTAGGTATTTGGTAAAAAGCTAAGAAACTCTTTTAGAAGAACTCGTTTTTTTTTTTTTTTTTTATTTAATTGTTTTTCTTCTTAAAATTAGCTTATAGAACAATTAGTTTTTAAGTTATTACAGACACTTAAACAGCTAATAATTAACGACTATTCACCAAATATTTTTACACAAAAACCAGGTCAAACCGCCCTTCTTAAAAAAAAAAAAAAAAAAAAAAAAAAAAAAAAAAAAAACGCCCAGGTCAAACCAGCTAATATAACAAGCTAAATCAATTAGACCAACTAATTATCAAATAGGGCCAAAATCTTAACAATGCTTCTTAATTAAGAATGATATACTCTATCTTATCTTCAAATAGCTAGCTTGGACTAGGGGTGCTAATTGAGTTGAGCAGACTCGAACTCGACTCGGTCAACGCTCGGTCTAAACTCGACTCTAGTTAGCTCGACTCGACTCGACTCGAAACGTTAACGAGCACGAGCTGAGCAAGTTTTAACTCAACTCGATAAGCTCATGAGCAACTCGATAATATATTTTATTGGTATAGAATTTACAAACAAAGTTACCATGTTTAAACAATATTGACGCTCTAATAAGTGTTAATTTATATTATCAAAAAAGAAAGAGTAAATCTTTAATAATAAATATATATAAAAAGAAAACAATATAAATTGAAAAAAGAAAAATAAAGGCATATAATTATAGAAGGCCAAAACTTTAACGAGCCGATCGTGAGCTACTCGACTCGACTCGAAACTTTAACGAGCACGAGTCGAGTAGGTTTTATTGGCTCAAAACTTTAACGAGCACGAGTTGCACATGTAAACAGTTTTCGAGTCGAGTCGAGCACCATTCAGCTCGGGATCGACTCGCTTGATAAGCACCCCTACGTGGGACTTAATAAATTGATACCGCTTGTCTCAAGCAGTGTGGCCCACCCTTTTTTTTAAACCTCAAATTCGTCTTAAAAATTTGGGTCTTTTTAAAACTAAACTCAACTTATGAAGAGCAATACGAATTTACTGCCTACTTATTCTTTTGAAAATGCTAATTGTGAGCAACTGTTATGAAGTTTTGGTTGATTAAGTGCGAAAAGGTAAATAAGACTAAAATATAAATACATAAAAAATAAAAATAGATTCACTCAAATGACAAAGGTAGCTAGCTAAGAAAATTTAAATAAAATTTAAATATTGCAAGAATTGTGAAATACGGATTACTACGCTTCTACGTTTGCGTTAAGTTATATGCAATTAAAAAAATTAAAACAAAAACAAAAAAATAAAGCTTGCAACATGTGATAGTTTTGCAGGAAATTTAAAGGTTGTCGGTTTTTACCATTAACTATAAATTATGCTCCATAAATTCTTGATAAACTTCAATGCTTACCACCTATTCACTTTCCCTTCCTTTTTTTTTTTTTTTTTTTTTTTTGTAACCTTCACTTTCCCTTCCTATGTAGTTATATAGGTTATACGATTTGATTTGTGACACTAATTATTATAAATCACAATGACTAATAAGGTAGTTTAATTTTCATGTGAGTTTCACATATGTGAATTATACTGAATTTATTAACCCCTATGTTATCTTAATTTATCAACGCTTGATATTTTAATTGACAACTTTTACACTATTTACAAAGTATGCTTTGACTAGATTTTGTGATTTATTACTACAATAAACCATAGTCATCTGAAAATCTTGTTTGAACCGTCTTAATATAAATTTATTAATATCCTCTATTATAATTTTACAATATTGATGATTAAATATATAAATGGTTAAATTTGTGCGTTGACAAACCTGAAAATTTGTCAGCAAAAAATACACGAAGGAAATATATATTATCTTTACCTTGGACCTTACTCCGTATTAGACATGCATGCCCTTATATAATGTAATGTTTAATTTCATTTTTTTTAAAAAATTTATTAACCCCCAGACATTTTTATGAACCCTTATTTCATTTTATGTGAACTTAAACGACTTGGTAGAAGTGAAATAAGTGAAGTGAAAATAAGGTAAGGGAGAACAGAGGCTCAGGGCATGTCATATACTCATGCATTTGTACATGCCCATTAGGAATTTTTATTAGGATGTGGATTTAGTGATATTTGTTTATTATTAATTTTTTTTTACACATAACTTGGGTTTATTTGGTATCGCTGTGGTTTTCTGTTTTTTGGTTTTTTGTTTTATAAAAGCATATGATATATGTCATATAATGGATCAAATATTAGTCAAACATTTTTAAAATCCTGATAATTTTGAAAATTGACAACGGAAAAGTGGAAACACCTTTTTCTTGTTTCCTATATTTGGTTTTTTGTTTTAAAAAAAACAGAAAATTAAAAACAAAAAACGATGCCAAAATTTTTCTTAGCTTAACTTCTTACATTGAGCAAAAATTAAATTAACATTATTTCTCCCACTATATATGTGACAACTAGTTTTTAGGCCCGGCCGATGCCCCAAGTTTACTGCATCATTTTTATGATAAAAATCTTTATTAATATTTAATCTTTATTAAAAGCCATGTAGTAACGTAATATCTTAGTGGTTAACACCTTATACTTTAAACTTAAGGTCGTAAGTTCAAATTTTATAAGAACCATATTTTTAAACACCGAGTGAAAATCGGATTTACATGTGGGAGTTGCCACATGGCTTAAATCATATGGTTTAAAAAATTAAGCAAAGTGCCACGTGACGGCTAAACTTGTTTAGGAACGACTTTTAATATATAGTATAGATGTGTCAATGTGAAATCCTTGCAGTTGTATGCCGTTTAAAAGTCAATAAATGATGTTTTTTCATCAAATGTGTACAAACAAATCATGTCCTTGAGCAATGAAACAGTACCCTAATAATATAAACTAGTAAAATCGTGAGATACAATATAAAAGCTTTTTAGAAATTTACTCATGAGTATTTTGTTGAAGAATATGATTTCAAATAATACATGTAAGTGTTTCATATTGAGAAACGAATAGAGAGTTAAATATTTTTATAAGGCAAAGGGGCTACTCCTTTTGTGACATGACTTGTAAAGTGAATTCTGTCTCCTAGTAACAAGTGTGGCCTAGACCCGTATTTAATATGATATCAGATCCCGACCCATGGTTGTGTTACATGTGAGAGAGAGTGTTGAATATAGGCTATAGAAACTTAAACACTTTATATGATTAATTACATTTTTGCAATCTAATACTCCCTCCATACTCTTTTGGCCTTGGCTCGGCCCAAACTCGGCCCTGCCCCCCAATGATCACCTCTAGTTGAATGTAAATTTTTTTAATTTTTTTAATTTTTTTATATTTTAAGCAAGAACGTATTTGTACAAACTTATTCCCTAAGTTTTTAAATTTTGACAGATCTTGATTTAATAAATTAACTTCCCACATTTATCTTCAAAAAAAATGTAAAATTTTATTAGATTTACAAGGCACTACTAATTCTCTTTAAGAAAGTTCGATACAGATTTAAAAGGATCAAGATGATGGAGAACATAAACAAGACATTAGACTTGACTGTTGTATTATATCGTTGCATTTTCTTTGAAATGTATTAGTGTACTCTACAGAGTCTACACTCTACTACATTTGTGTGAAGTTCCCTTGTCAAAAATGATAACTACAACTGCTGAGCTAATGATATTAATGGTTTATCTTACAGCTTTCAGACTGTTTGTTATGGCTGGCATTGTGCTACTTCCAATTCTATTGCCTGTTTCCGCCACTGATCACAGTGTGATCAAACAGAATAAAAACGCTAAAAATTCAACATCAACCAATTCAACTATCAACGAGTTCAATAAGTTCTCCATGGAACGTATTGGGGTAAGTATCGTATTTTCAAAGTACCCTTCAATTCTATAAAATATTGTGTCATTCGAGTATTGCTCAACCTTAGAACATATTCATTCATATTTGTAAAACGACTAATTTAACTTTCACTTGCAGCCAGGAAGTCCAAGGTTGTGGGCATACATGATTGCTGTCTACTGGGTTTCTTTGGTTACGTATTTCCTCCTATGGAAGGCATATAAACATGTTTCCGAAATAAGGGCTACAGCTCTGAGGTCTTCTGAACCAAGAGCTGAGCAATTTGCAATTCTTGTTAGAGACATACCTCATGCGCGAGAAGGGGAGACCAAGAAGGAACAAGTTGATTCATATTTCAAAGCCATTTATCCTGATACATTCTACAGGGCAATGATAGTAACAGACAATAAGGAGGTAAGGTTTTAATCGTCTATTGATGTTGGACGGATAGAGTAGTAAGCAATATAATCATTCTGAGATGAGGCGTAATATAAATTAGGAAAATTTGAAAATACAACTACCTATTGTTCACGTTTTAGTAATTACCACCTCAAGTTTTTTATTTTTAACCTTACACCTACTTTTCTAAATAACATAAAAAAAAAAACTCCCACCTCTTTCCCAAACCCCCCAAAATGACGTCACAGTGGGCCCCACCACCAATTTTCCTTCAATTATTCAACTGGATGATCTTGTTTCAGTTAATTATTTATCAGTCACTTGTTATAGGAAACTGTACATTTTTTATGTAACAGGTTAACAAAATCTGGGAGGAGTTAGAGAAATATAAGAAGAAATTGCTGCGCGCTGAAACAATTTATGCAGAATCCAAATCAATTGGTAGTCCTGAGGGAGTCAGACCGACAACTCGGACTGGCTTCCTCGGTCTTTATGGAACCAAGGTTGATAGCATAGAGTATTACACTGAAAAGATTAATGAAATCACCCCAAAGTTAGAAGCAGAGCAAAAAATCACCTTAAGAGATCGTCAGCTTTCTTCTGCACTCGTATTCTTTACGAGTAGAGTGGCTGCTGCTTCTGCTGCTCAGAGTTTACATGCTCGAATGGTTGACAGTTGGATCGTAGTGGATGCTCCTGAACCACGTCAAGTGATTTGGACTAACCTTTCTCTCAATTATTATTCCAGGACAATACGCAAGTACGTTGTGTACACCATTGTTTCAATAACAATACTCTTTTTCATGATTCCTATCACTTTTATAACTGCATTTACGACATTGGAGAATCTCGAGATGCTTCTGCCTTTCTTAAGACCCATTATCGAAATAAAATCTGTTCGGACATTGCTGGAGGCTTTTCTTCCTCAACTTGTTCTTATAATATTTTTGGCTTTGTTGCCAATGTTATTGAGATATCTGTCTAAAGCGGAAGGAATTCCTTCCGAGAGTCATGTAACGAGGGCTGCTTCTGGCAAATATTTCTACTTCACAGTTTTGAATGTTTTTATTGGACTGAGCCTTGGTGGAAGCCTATTTTATAATATCAAGCGATTGAAGGGCAAACCGGAAGCTATTATTGAAGTACTTGCAGCGAGCATTCCCTACAGCGCAACCTTCTTCTTGACATATGTGGCTCTCAGGTTTGATCTTTACATCTTTCAAAACTATTTCACCCATTTTTCTGTTTTAGCCATCAGTAATTAAGACGTATATCATGTATAATTATGATATAATTCACAATCTTATTTGATTTTCTATAACATTGGAATGTAGGTTTTTTGTAGGGTACGGCTTAGAGTTGTCCAGAGTGATTTCGTTTGTCATATTCCATTGCAAAAGGAAGTTTTTGTGCAAAACCGAAGCTGATGTGAAAGAAGCATGGGCTCCTGGAGATTTTAGATACGCGACAAGGTTTCCAAGTGACATGCTTATTCTAACTATCACCCTCTGTTACTCTGTTATTGCACCATTGATCATTCCATTTGGTGTTATCTACTTCGGCATGGGATGGCTCGTCATTAGGAATCAAGTAATTTCTTCAATCTTTTTCTTATATTAGTCTTTAACATTTCTGTACTTAAATATCTTTTTACAAATCTTATAAAAAATAACCTTATATGATTTATTCAAAAAAAAAAAAAAAAAAAAAAAAAAAAAAAAACACCTTGTATGATAACCGTACCATTAATAGAAAGGATTCATTAACCTATATTTTGCTAGTACTAGAGCTTTTCATTTCACTTCAAGTGCACGTGTTAGATTTTCAACACTTCAACATGAAAAATGAACACACAATAATTTATTTTGTACCAAAATCATGAAAGTTGTTTCTTATAGATGACACACAAACACATAACCCATCACTCAGTCATTCATGACATAACAAATTTTAAGGATTTTTTTTTTTTTTTAGAATAGACCTTATATGTCAGTCATTTTTGCGCAAAATGACCTATAAAAAAGTGACACTTTGAGACTTTATAGTACGGAGTACTTTTTTTGGTTGACTACTAGCTTTGTTTAAATTCTAATCATCGACTGTTATTTTTTAGTAGAAAAGTAGAAATATTGTATGTATGGATTGTGGATCTCTAACAACTATTTACTTTCCTTTATAACAGGCATTGAATGTGTATGTTCCATCATGTGAGAGCTTTGGGAGGATGTGGCCTCATATTCATACAAGATTTCTTTCGGCACTAGTCTTTTATCAAGTTATTATGTTTGGTTACTTTGGAGTGAAGAAATTCATCTATGCTTTCGCGATCATCCCACTTCTTTTGATGTCCTTGATCTTTGCATACGTTTGTAACAAGAAATTCTATCGCTTCTTCCACCACAGAGCTCTTGAAGTTATGTGCCATGAGTTGAAGGAAACTCTCGACATTGATAGTGTGTACAGATCATACCTTCCTCCAAGTTTAAACTCTGATAAGTTAGATGATGATGAGTATGAAATTGTTTGATCTTGCAAATGGTGTTTTTTGCAATGGATGTACACTAATGTTATTTTATACTAATACATTCTATTGTAAATATATTTTTTGTGTTTTGCAAAGGATGTACGGTGTAGGCCATAAAAGAATGAGGTTGTCCCTATTAGATCAACAAAATTTGTCAATCTATGTCTCGTCACTGCTTAGTCACGCTTTGTCATTGCTTAGTCACCACTTAGTCATCAAATTAGACATTAATATCTATTGAAGTTTTTCAACCTTCCTACAACTGACACCTCCTGTTTCGGGGGTTTTTGGAGTCCCACGGGAGAGTTACGATCCTGAGTATGCGCGCCCGACTGTTTGTACCTGCAAAATCACGAAACTCCGGTAGGATGGAGTTCCGCCTCAGACGATCAAGTTAGTATGCGACCTGAGTAGTAAACTGTACGGAAATGGTAAATAATTCTCCCTGATTCAGAGAGATTCCGCAATTAATATTGCTCGATTTTTTGTATGTATTTATGAATGAGTAAAAATGAGGAATTTCCTCTATTTATAGAAGATGAGGATCTGCTCCCCTATTGGAGGTACAATGCCGCGTGTCAGCATCCGATTGGATCCCATTGGGCCTCTGGTGGGCTACCACGTGTCATCATTCTATTGGGCCACGTGGCATAGGGTATTTGTACCCTTAACATTTTCCCCTCACAGGTGTCAAGCACAGGGGAGGCGACGGTTGTTTTGCTTCCCGCCTCTCTCTTGGATTCGAATTTTGAAAAGTTGAGGCAAAAGGTGGCGATTCGCCTTCCGGGTTTGTCTATAAATAGAGACACTCCCCCTCTCTCCTCTTCACTTTACAAATGTTGCAAAAATTTCTTGAGAGCTCTGATACCGGCTGCTTTATTGTGCAACTAGCTTCTTCTTTCAAACGCATCCGGATACTGGTTGAGTGCTTCTTCAATCAACTCATTTAGGTACCGCCTGACTCTTGATTTTCTCTTGATTTGAGTAGAACCACACACGGTCTTACACCGTCTGGGGCACCTTAAGCCCTTTCTTTTATGTCTTGCATTTGGTAGACCCATAGTCGGTTTGGACTGTCTGGGGTATCTTCAAATCATGGCCTTCAAAAACAGACCCTCAGACGGTAATGGACCGTATGAGGTATCTTCAAACAATGACTTTCCAATAATGCATTCCATAGGCCCGCAGACGGTTACATGTCGTCTGGGGAATCTTCAGACAATAGTATTAACATTTTGCATTCTATAAACCCTCAACTGGAAGTATTCCGCCTGGGTCATCTTCAAACAATTTCTTGTCAAAACTTGCATTTCATAGACCCTCAGACGGCTAGGAACCGTCTGTGGTACCTTCAAACAAAGGATCTCCAAATCTAGACCCACAGAGACAATTGCTCTTCAAAACTAGACCCACAGACAGTTATGGACCATCTGGGGTATCTTCAAACAATTGTTCTTCAAGACTTGGATCCATCGCACCCTTAACCGGGCTTATACCGTCTAGGGGATGCTCGAGCAATTTTTTTCATACCTCGATCATGATCTGCTCTTGTAAGACCCTCAGCCGGTTCTTATGCCGTCTGGGGGGTCTTCGAGCAATTCGTCACGGATACCGCTTGAGGTATCCTTGAGGTTCTTTTAAACCATTCAATTTACCCTCAGCCGGAAATGTTCCGCCTGGGGCATTTCAGAGTAATTTTCATATATATATATATATATATATATATATATATATATATATATATTTATATATATATATATTTAATTTTGCATTCATAAGACCCTCAGTCGGTCTTATTGCCGTCTGGGAGGATTTCGAGAATTAATCCGAAGGATTAAATGAGTCAATAGAGTTTTATGAATAAAGACGTCGGATTCGAGCTTAGAGCATCGAAACCGAGCATCAAGCGTTGAGTAGAATTTTAGGAATCGACGAAGACGAGAAAAATAATCAAATAATATATCCTGCTAAAATTGCGGCATGGTAGCAGGCCCAGCCAAGGGAAAGGCTGCCATTTGGGCGTGCCTTGGAGCCCAAGGGTTGAGGCCGATCTTCCATGCGTAGACCAAGTGTGCCATGCACATGGGGTTGGTGGGTTTATGCTTGCCCTCCAAGGATGAATTTATGGTCCTTACCTACTCCCTCTTTATGTGATGACACTTGTCATTTGATTATTGTTTCAATTCTTTTTATTTAATTTAGAATTAAATTAATTCATGTTTTTCTCACTATACCAACTATCCCACATTGAAAGATGATGGGAATTCTTGAGGAGATTTCTCTATAAATACCCATCATGAGGTATTGAGATTTTCACTTAAGTTAGTGAACTTTAAAGGATCTCCAAGAAGAGAATACCTTTGTTCTAATAACTCTAAGTTATTTTTGGTCTATCCCCGACTAAGCTTCAGGGTAGGGGTTGGCTCGGTTCGGTAGCGAGGGTGTTAGCCGTTGGAGATTTGCGCATTTGCAGGACTTTACACTTTCAAGTCCGAGCTCTAAGTAACAGCGAAGAACGCTTCAAGGGTAATGATTCTTTCTCTCTCTTCTTGTTAATAATGTGATTAAGGTTTTAATAAATGCTTAGTTACTTTAATTTGTGTGCGGATTTTGGGCGGGTTTCCTTCTGCGTGGTATTGGACATCACGAAACCCAACAGCGGTATCAGATCCGCGTGCATTTAATTATTGTAACTAATAATTAATTAAGGTGATTTAATTGGATTTAAATTTCTGGTTTTGCTTTCTAATTGGATTATAAGCTCGTTTTAATTAGTTTAATCTTGTATTTGTACTAATTTTGGCTAAACAACCCAGATTTTGACCCAAAACTAGTGAATTTTGGATGGAATAAACGTTCTAAATCGTTTTTGACCCACTTCATGAATGCTCCAGAAGCCAAAATCCACCCACAAACATGTTTTTCGAAGGGTATTTCGTTTTTGACGAAAAATTTTAAATCTATAAACCTTGATTAATTATGGTATTTTAATGTTGGATTATGTGTATGGTTACACCATTAATCTACTGCAATAACAACCCTTATTAAGCATATTTATGAAGTCATATTTGGTACTTGATTTGATGAGCTCATTTTTCACATAAACTTGCAATTTCACATTTTTGCAAATTAATTTATGGTGAATTTGTAATTTGAAGCCCCTAAAATGTTAAAGATCCAATCTTTAACTGTTTATTTGGTTGGAACTTAACTTTCTAAATTCAATGTTGAACTATTTTTGTTTTTAATCATTTTTGAGTTGATTAAGTCTTAAAAGTTCAAACTTGTGATAGAAATTTGATTACTCTTCATATTGGAAGGATATAATTTTTCAAAATTACATAAGTTAGTTGTAACACACTATAAATTTTTTTTCTTTAAAACACCTATTTTGCCCTTTTTAAAATACGAAATAGGAAACTCTAAGACATTACCGCCACCGTGAAAATGACTAAGGAAAATATCAAAGACACACACAGAGGAAGACTATCTTTAAAACCATTTAAAACAAGTTAACTTAAAAAGTCAAACCGAACGATAGTAAAAGTCAAAATAAGTCAAACAAAGTCAACCTACAACTTGGAACCATTGTAGGCCCTCACAACCAAACAATTCAACAAAAAACCTTTGCGTTAGTCTCACGGACATAATAAAATAAATAATATTTAAAGCAAATAAAACACATCATATTCCTATGAGAACTAAGCATGATTCGCTCTTCACTCAAGCCCATCATGAATATGCTTCACCACCTGTAAAGCTTTTCTTTACTTGTCCCCACTACTCGCCATTAGAAATGGGTCGTCGTAGGGCCAAGGTAAAGACAAGGTCAAACAAACATACAAACAAACAATCAGCAATGCTAAGTACATAAGCGTAATTAAAACACACTAACATGCTTTCAACCTATCATCACACAACTTACCCTGTTGCACCTGTTTACAAGCATACAAAACACTCAACACTTAACTAGACAAATACCAATTTTCATTTAATTTTGATTACACATCGAACAGGTTTCCAACCAAATCCTGCCTCAAATAAATTGAGATAAATTACACCGGGAGCTAACCGGGTAGGCGAATGTTACATGAAAGTGACTGGACGTCCTTTGCATAAGATAAGTAAAAAGGAAAATACAATGTCTTGTACTCCAAGTAGAAGTCATGGTTAAATATAAAACCCCATAACTCCCCCCACATGTTCATACTCAAGGTATATACGTTCCAAGAGTTTTGGTGTGTAATCTCTTTCACTTTACGTTGTTTACATATTATTATACTTGGTGATGACTCTCAAATCATAACACAATCAAACATTATAATTCATTCAAGAAATCAAACATACCAATTTAATTCTTGAACAATTAATGACCACACAAATTTAATAGTTGAACTCTTCTTAATATACCTTAGTGTTAAAGATACCTTAAACGCATAATGCGTCGCAAATCCTTTCCCTCGGTTAGCTCCCGGTGGAGGCCTACCCGAATGATTACATTGTTTTATAATTTATTTTTGATTTAACTAAATTAGTAGAAAATGAAACTATCCCACATTGATCATGAATGGGAGTGCAAGTTGCATTTCCCTATAAATACCCCATGATTGGGCATTTGGAAATCAACTTGAGTGGAACTAAAAACTGCATCTCTTATTATTGAGAAAACCGTTACGTACGTAAAACTCTAGTTTTTTACTTGGTCAAGTCTCGACTAACCCTCGAGGCGAAGATCGTTCGGGTCGGGTCGTGGGTACGAGCCGTTGGAGGCCGTCACGCTTGTGAGGCTTTAAGCTTCGAAGTAAGATCTCGGTTTACGAGCGAAGCACGCTTCAAGGGTATTACATCTTTATCCCTTTTCTTAATTGTTGTTTAATTATGTTTATGCATGCTTTATTGCTTTAATTATTAGGGCGGGTTTCTCTTCCGCGTAGCATTGGACGCTACGAAACCCAACAACAACTTCACTCAACTCTACTCCATCGTTGTTGTTACCACTCCCTCCTGCCATCTTTCTTCGCATGAATTAAAAGAAAGAGGTCTTTATTAAAAACGATCTTGGCTAGCTCTCAAGTTAGACACTCATCCAACTAACTCACACCCTTGACACATACACATTAAATTTTAAGCTAACAAATTGAAATTAAAATTCCTAAAA